AACGCGGCGTAAGCACATTTGCGGACACCCAATCACCATTTATACCAGCCCTGGGAAGAAGGTCCGGTTCTGCCCTCGGTTCAAGGGTTCAATTGTCCGCCACCTCCTATATGCTCTGCAGCCACAGAGAAAAGATCCATCAGCAGTAATAGACAAGTCGGGCTGAACATAAGTTACAAAGTGCAGCTTCAGCAGCAACTATGGGAAGCCAGCGAGATGTTTGGGTATCCTGAGCTCAAAAGGTTTCGGGTGACGTTTGGAAAACTCGCAGCGCATATCATTGAGGAAACAGAGTCCACTTTCGAGAACGATGGCGGCATGTCCAAGGTGCAGATCCTAGCGATGGATCGCGATGGTGAGTAGCACCTTCAGTCGATCGAGGAATGGAACTGGTGTAAGACCGAGATGAAGAGGCGAGCGCTGAAGAAGCTGGAGGAAATGGGAGACAAGGAGGATCTTGCGAAGGGTGCAAGCCCAGGAGGTGAAACAAGCATTACAGCAACCGACATAACGACTCAAGACGTTCCCAGACGCACCAAGGACATTTAGACAGCGAGGTCAGTGGTGTTGTTGTCGACCATAATCTTGTAGGAGCTGCCGCAAAGGCGTTGGTGATACTCTCCAGCCTGCGAGGACGCGTTGTAGACGCTCATGACCTCCTCAAGTGTGCCATCAATCTCGGAGCTGTAAGAGACCTAGCCGAGACCAGCCTTGTCAAGGGAAGAGATTGGGATAGCACTAAGTGCAGGATCAAACAGAACCCAGAGGGGAGGCAGCAATTTTGGGTAGACAGAGAAGGCGACAGCCCGAGCTGATGAGAAGAGTGAGGAGGCTGATCCGAGGCAGATACGGAAAAGAGCTTTGCGTAGCGATATCAGAAAGACTCGAGAGGTACCGAGAGGCGCTCAAGTATGCGGCAGCGGCCAGGGATGAGGTAATGAGCGGAGACGACGATACCGCATTGCTCGCCTTGGCTAATTTGCTGGATGACCTGCTGGAGAGAATTCAAATAATTGTGTGTTGATAGACGATCAGACATGTAATAATTAGCCCAAAACATAAGTGACGGAACATAACACAGTGTCAGACAAACCTACTTCCTTAGTCTAGGTCTAAATGTAACATTACTCAATGTTATAGCCTCGTCGCCGTCGTCGTCACTAACTTCCCTTACACGCCAGGTGTCCGCAATACCAGTGGCTTCAGCCCTGACTGCGAGGACTGCTGTGTCGTGTCGGAGCCAACGTACCTGTTGCAAGATGACGCGAGTATCATTGTAGTCGCTCTCAGAGCGCTTATTCATGGACTGTGAAACGGCAGAGCGACATTGCGCAAGAGCATTCTTGCAGGAGCTGATGTCAGTAGCATTAAGACGAGTAGCCGCCGTTCCATAGTTATTCATAGAGGATAGCAGAGACGTTACTGCAGAAATGGCGGCGTCGTTGGCCGACAGAGTACGCAGCAGCCATTGATTGGCAGCATCGAACTTGATGTGCTTTGAGTCGTCGATGGCGCGGACCAAGATTGGAAAGCAGGTCGCCAGTGAAGCCTTCAATGCTGGATCTTGGCTTGGGGTCTCTACCACTGTCGCGGTTTCTCTGGACCGCAATCGCATCGTTAGTCGCAGGGGCTCCGCGCTAGATTGCGGCGGTTTGGACGGCTGACTCAATGACGGCGACATTGGGTGCGGGTCCTGTTGTTGACTGAGCCATGTGTTAAGACGATGTCTGAATTGCAAAGGCACTGCCAGAAATGAGATCGGAGACAGACTACTGGGTTTTTGTTTGCTGTCCGGTAGATGTTGTGCCAGTGGAACAGAAGTGCCGTTTATAAGGCCCCCGTCATGAAGTCCCTGTTTCTGGACGATGGGAAGAGGATAATGCACGGCCTCTCTGGGTGCTTTTCGATGTCGTCGTCTTTCCATATCGACCATTGATGTTGCTGCTGGAATCGCCTGGAAAGACGACGTCATTGTCAAATCCTTGAGACTCTAGAAAAGGGTTCTCTTCATCTCCGCACCAGTGGCGGGAACGATGAGAAGCAGGTGGTGACATTATGGCACTTGTGGGGTTTCTCCAGGCCATGGAACGCTTCCGTGTATGAACTCGATTATCTTGCGTGAACGATAGCTCATACGATGAGTCGAAGCTGTTTGTTGGCAATCTGCTTGATCGGGGTGATGGGAAAGAGGCCGCAGCGCGTGATGGGGCATACGATGGATCGAACGCGGTAGTTGATAAGTCGCTTGTTTCAGCAAGCCTAGGAGGCGGGTTCGAAGGAACATAGGATGCTTCAAAAGCTGTCGTGGCTATGCCGGAGGATATCAAACCATTCTGGGTTTGGTCTTGGTCGACCGGGGCGGCGGATACTGTGGATGGGGGAGGGGACTGGTACGCAGGATCGAAGCTCTCAGTAAACTTCGACGTTGGCGCAATATTGACTCTGGATGCGGCATGGTCGATTTTAGGCGCTGTTGCCTCCTCGCAAGCTGGTGGAAGAGGAGGGGGTTCGATTTCGCCATCCCAGTCGGGATGAGCCCACAACGCAGTCCATGGCGACCAGACGCAAGTTTTATCCGGACCCTCGACGATGGTCCCCTTCTTGCCCAACTTTACGAACTTGGCTTCGAGCGCGCGCTGTACTCGGGGATATACAAGCGCGGGATATTCGCTGCTGGGGTAGACGCAGTTGACTTAACTAAAAGGTCTTCGAGGCGGACCTGACTGCAGGCTTACCAGTCAGGCTTGTGTCTAGCGAAATGGCGGAACATGGCGAGGTGTGCGCAAAGACACCACGGGATTCTTTCGAGTTTACCTCGTCGCAGCTGGGAAACGGGGATGTCCTCAACGGACTAGAAGACAACATCAGTCAGGCCTAGCTATAGCTTGCTTGGAACGAAGAGGAGCTTACCACGGCGGTGTTGTGTTTGCACATAACGCAAAGGTGCCTGTTTTGGAGGCGCCGACTGGAGACACTAACTTTGGGGGCTGAAAGTATGGGATAAATTCATTGGAGAGACTGTTCAAGCAGCGAGAATAGATTTTATGGGTTGTAAAATAACAGGCGAACGCCATGATACCCGTGAAGTAGATCTGACCACCCAGATGCGTTTGAGGTTAAACAAGGTTCTCGTCAAAATGAGTGCTACTACTAGACAGCATATGATGCAAACGACGCAGTTGAGAGACAGACTCATAATCCTCTATCCTCTGAAGACTAGGCGGTCAAGAGTTCGCATGAGATTGGTGATGCTGACGGAAACAGGCAGAGTTCATCCAAAAGTCCTGCATGGGAAGTTCATGCGATGCAGGCGATAGCGGCACCATGTATGCGATGAGGTGATTGCAAGTCTAATGCTGACTGGCCCCCTGGATGTTTGTTGAAAAAGCCATGCATAAGCCGAGCAATGGCTATTAGGTCTTTGCCCAATATCCCCATCTCTTTTGCTTCGCTTGGCTGATACGGCACATATACACTCAGTGTGAAGAACAACAGCAACACACGAAGTTTCTTCAAACAAGCCTAGGGTACAGATGCCGTTAAAGATTGGCTGTGCGAATCCAAGTGCACGTGACTAATCGTATGGTGTAGGGCAGACAAAGGAAACACTCACTCCAGTTCTGTGGACCCGAGACAAGTGATGGGCGATACAATATGACGGACAACACCCTGGCGAACGTGTAAGAGATGGTCGGTTGCCCGGTGGCTGAAGACGTCGTCAACTGACACCTCCGCATCGCAAGTCTCTGGTTTGTCGTCGGTGTGATCCTTTATCTCTTGCGGCCTCATGTTGCAAGCTCTTCTGCGCGTCTCCCATCTCTGTCGTCCGCCTCGTATCTTATTCGTTTCATCTTTTTTCTTCTTTGCATGCGGTTGTCGAAAGCTTCCCAGTAACTACTCTACCTATCATTATTATGTTAATGCTCAATGCCTCCTAAATGATCATAATGACAAATCACCTACATATTGTCTTGGAAAGCCCTCTGTCTTTTACCCTCAATGGGATTGACATGGCGAGAAGCGTTCGAGAAAGCATTCGACCCATCAAAGCATGGGCATCCCGCAGCAAAGACGCAATAGCGCCATGTCGGTTTCGTGGCGTTTGCTTGCCACATGACTTGGGAACGGGTGAGCTCGGTCAAGGCGTACGAGTTGGCGGTCTGACCAGCCGTCAGTTTGCATTGGTCGGAGCTGCGGCCTCAAGTCTCTGTCCAAACAGTGACGCGACTAGGCGATGAGGGTGAGAGAGAAAAAAGTACGGAAACTGGCAGGACGTGGTTTTCAAGGCATGCAAGGGGAAGGCTGATGGTCACTTGATTTGTATTTGTCTTGTATCTTGGGCGAACCCCGTTCTCTCGCAACAAGGTTGGTCTGGCCAGCTAACTTCGTCGTCGGTCTTCGGGATATGACAATGACTGGATAGAATGGACTATTGGACAGTTAGCGACAGGCAAAAGAAACTAGACAAAGGGAGTTGTCATCAGGCGGCGCCCTCGTCTTCCTCAGGAGGCGGTGTTGAGCCCCATTTTCTAGTGTTGCACCTCCCTCTTAGTTTGTTTCGGTAGATCTACCACTCGCGCTCATGAAGCAAATACTCAAGCATGGCTATATTAATGTCGCGTTCGCGGATCAACTGCCGGTTGTAAGTAGCCAAAGACAGCCACACGGGACCGCACCACGTCGCAAACTCATCGAAGCTAGCTTTGCAGGCGAGCCCCAGGGGGGCGAGAAACCTCACGCCAACAGGCTCAGGCATCGGCCCAGATCCGTTCTGTTGCCGTGCCCCTGTTGTCATAGAGGTACGTGAAAGAAAGGAAGCAAGCCGATCAATGTTAAATGTTCATAGTGAGTCTCAAGACCTTGTTTCCGTGTTCACAGCCGCGCTTACCTCTGCCTTGACGAGATGATCAAACGCTGCGTGGACCCTCTGCAGATGGGTGATTTAGTTGGACTTGTCCTGTTCCCGCGTTTGATCACGTCTCCGAATCCCGTCCATCTGGAGGCGACTGTAACTTGTGAGCTGCGAGCCTAGGCGGTCTACAGCTTGACGTATGGCAACGGCATCAGGTGTGAGCATGAGATTCGCTGAGGAGAAGAACCATCTGGGGCGGTGGCCAACAGCGCGGCGTTTCTTATAGACGGTGGATTTAACGAAATTGATGTAGGTATGAAACCGTCATCTTCAGCCACGTGCGGGTTACTCTCGTTATGGCTCTCGAATTGGCAAAGCGTGGGGTCACAGGCGGAAGTGATATCGTACAACGAACTGCCAACTTCTCATGAGAGCCTGCCCAGCCGTCCAGCATAGACGAATTCCATAATGATGCTGTTTCGGTCGTGTCGCCGTCGTTATTTGTGATGACTGGCGACCACAGCGCGTCAGCGTTCACGGCACTTAATGCCACACGAAGATACTCGGCTTGCTGCAATACTGCGGTCATGCGCAGCGAAAGCAGGTGTGAATGCCGTATCATTTCGTTGAGTAGTACCAAGTCGGCGTACGTCGGCTTAGAGTCGCGAAGGGAAGGGATTATATGTGTCTCAAAAAGGGCCTTGACGGGACCAAGAAGAGGCGCAACCTGAGCGATCAGAAGGGGCAGTTGAGGGATATACCTGAGGAGCTCAACGCGGCCATCGCAGCCGTCGATCGGAGAGGGTTTGTCATTGTTGGTCGAGGGGAGCGGAAGCTTCGGGCTCAAATACCGGAGAAAAAGACGAGCGACGCGAAGTGTTAGCGGTGAGTAGCGAGCGGACGATGCAGCATCGAGATGTAAGGTGCCCTCGGCGAGCCATTGGCCGAGAAAAAGGAACAGGTGGCAGTGGTTGAAATCTTTGCGTTGATGTCAACAAGGAGGTTGTCTACATTTTCGAGACGGGCAAGAACGGGAATACAGGCGGGTAGCGAGGGACCGGCGTTGACGTGGATGTTGGTGGTAGGCAAGAAGAGACCGCATACAAATTGGGCAACGTTCATGAGACGTTGTATAAGGGCAAGGGAGTACTGCTCTCGTTTGGGATGCGAGTCTCGTTTGATCTCCGAGAAGCAACAGATTGAGCGGATTATAAGCCCTGAGGAAGTTGTTAATTGGACGATGAATGGGGATAGCAGGGACGACTTGGCACTGTAGGGACAATAGCAAGGCGGAGACTGAGAAGAAGGCGAGGACGGGAATGAGAGAGAGCATAACTACATAAGCAGCCATGCTTGGTTGTGTTTGACTGGAGGAGGTGAGGAATGAGGAAGGTTGATCGCAGCCCTGGCGTCTTTATTATCGTCGTTGTTGATGTTGTTGATGTGATTGCTGTCGGTGGATAGGGGATCACAACTCGTAGAGGCAGTATCGCAAGCACTATCGTCGTCGAGGGCGTGAAGGTTAGCGACTCCCTTTATTCGTATGATTCCGTAGGGCCGCCTGGGAATGCCTCCGTACGGGGCGTCGGTCAAGTAAATGGAGCCGTCGTCATGGAAATGGATGGCGAGATTCTGGCGGTGGGGCCGTCCAGCATGAAGACAGAGATGAAAGGTTTGGATGTTGTTGGTAGAATCAGGATCGGGATCGGGATTTGTTCTGACATCGATGGCTAGAGTAGTGAAGTCGTCGACAGGATGATGAGGCTCTGTTGTCCAGCATGGGGTTAGCTTCGCTTCACTTGATTTCGCTTAGAGAGTGGGAAAGAAGAAATCCATAACTTGTGAGAGCGATTCGTGTGGCGAGCTGACTCGCTCTGCCATGTGGTGGTATACTTCCGATGATGGTGGATGTGGGTGGGAGGATGTGTCGAGATGGGACAGCAGACGAACAAACGGAAGACCAAGAGAAGAAAAAGAATGAAAAACGTGTCTTTGTTTGCCTGGAAACCCAGCGCCAGCAAGGACCGTTACACCACAGGGTTGAAGGAACATCGTTGGCTATCTTTCTTTCTGTCTATGGCAACTGCAACTGCCTCTTTCGGGCAGTGCCACAGCCACAGCCACAGGCTATCAGGTGGCTGAGACCCGACAGGCCCCACTGTATGTCAATACCAACCAATACCAGTCAGTACCTCTTACCTACTGCCTGCCACCTGGTGACAGTCTTTACCCCCATGTCATATGGCACATGCCGTTTGTCCCTGTAGATTGCTCGATTGGGGGGGTTTCGACCAGTGTGATTGGATCATCGCCTGTTCTTTCTGACAAGAACAGGGTTCTGACCTACTCCACTGAAGTCGAGCCTCTAGCCAATCAAGTTATATGGTATCAAGCCTCGGAAAAACTTCATGCTGCAGAAGCCTCTCATCTAAGCAGCGGTATCGTCACTGGCTCCGGCCAAATGTATGTGGTGCACATGATTGGGAGTACCAATCAAGTCAAGGCCGTCAGTAGGTCCACAACAAAACAATCTCCCCATGATCACACGAAAAAGAACGAGTTTAGAACTTGTAATTATCTTGCAAACCGCATACCACAAACGTGTTCGAACGACCGCTAAACCCCTATCTCAACGATGGTGGCAGCGCTCCCCTCCCCCTCTGTGACGAACTAGGCACATAGCAATCAGGCTAGAAAAGGTGTAAAAGAGTGACTTGATTTAGAAAAAGGTTGTGTGCGTGAGGGAGCTCGTACTTAAACGCCTACGTTGTGCGCTTCATATTGCTTATGTAAACACACCTCGCTCGGTGTGTTCGGTGAGCGTTGACACTATCGTCACACTCTCTAAAAAAAAAAAAGAAAAAAAAGGAGATTGCACCGCGTCATTTCTTTTCTCATGTCAATAACACGCCGTCATGAGCCGCTGACTGCCTCTAACGCTCCAGGGACCTCCTACCGCCGAATTTCGGGAGGACCACCACTAACCTCACATTTCCGTCGTGTAGCGCTCTTCTCTGCAGAAGGAGATTCCAGCCCGATTTCGCGTTCGTACACGGCACAAACTGTCGCAAAGTGCTGCAGCGTGAGGGCGTCATGAGGGGTGTATCTATGACTCCACGCGATCGAGAAACATCATCGCGGGGGTCCGGCGTATCAAAAAGGCAGGGATAGGCTCGACTGCTACAAAGACTTCTCGTAGAAGGGTTGCGGCTGACAATGGTGGTATTCTTATCGAACAGCCTATTCAAACACATTGCGAAGTGGCAGGCACAGAGCAGCATCCAACAATGCCAGGAGTAGCTTACCGGGCCTGCTCCCTTGGAGCATAAAGCGGTGTTTCGGAGAGGGTTGATGCCTTTGAGAGGAATCTAAAAGGTGACCCAGAAAGGATCTCCACATAGAGATAGTCTCTTCAGAGCATGAAACAGGATCGTGCTGTGACCACCTTCTTCGTCGTCGGCCTCGAGCGAAGATGATATCATATCGAGTCTAGCAACCAGGAGGCGGCACGCAGGACGTGAGAAGGCAGTATATGATAGTCCAACTTCTTCCGCCCGGTCGAGAAAGAGAAGAAAAAGAGCAAAGACGCATCGAGCATTCTCTGGCGCATTTCTGCTACATACCGATTTGCATAGAATGACGAGGTGTGGATCGGTTGCTGAGAGCTTGGATAGATCGAATCGCGAGGCGGCCTAGTTCCTGAACATGAAGCTGGAGAAATCGTTGAAGCGTGTACTGGTGATGATGACGTGGGCGATTTTAATCCGAGATTTAAGGCTTGGATTTTCAACCAAGCTTCGGGTGAGGAGACCAGATTGTTGAGCAATTCTGTCCTTACTACATTTTTCTTAAGGTTATGACATTGCTAGATGTTGATGACATCGACACACCACCCGTTGGGCTCCGATGATCAATTTTAATGTTTGGAGTAAACAAAGTGAGAACCAATTGAGAAGTTCTAGAGCAAAAAGACGTAAAGCCAATATATTCAATCTTCTTATGCAGGCCGACTGCTGGCTGTTTTGCAACTGACAACAGCATGAATATCGAAGCCGCGTGTCCATCATGATGATAATCAGAGCGTTTTATCCAGAAACATAACTTCTCCTGGACACGCTATCATGATTCAGGGCGACCCGGCAGTGCACATCATAAGGATGCGATGGGAAAGGGTCACAACTAGCTCCAAACGCAAGACGTCATTATGCCAAATGCAAAGCAGGCAGAAAGATCCCAAGAGAGCCTAAACGGCATTCAAAATCACAGCATACATTCTATAGCTAGCAGTTAGCTGCCTACAATGCAGTCAAGCACCTGTAGGCAGTGTTCTCAGATATAACCAAGCCAGTGCCTCCGCCTCCAAAGTAGAACAGAAAAGTCCTAGGACACGATGAACTGCACTTGCGGGAGGCGATCTCGAAACAGCACCGAGCGCTCGAGAGTGCGAGATTTCTGGATTGGCAGACTGGGTGGATGATGCGGGTGCGGTCGTGGGGTAGACAGATCAGGCATCGTTTCTTTAATGGAGTTTAATGGGAAGTCTTTCGTATAATTGAGGCAGGATCTGTGCTGTAACGTCTTAGGATAAGAACAGCCTGGAGATGGAAGATTACACAAGTCGCTCACGTCTGGAATTCGATGCCGTAGGCGTTGGGAAGCAGATGAGTATTAGTTGATGGCGCCTTGGGATGTTGCTGAACTAACCGAAAGCCAGCTGGCGAGTGAGGCTGTTTTCTGAAGCAATGTCACGCTGCTTTGAGCATCCGCGTGGCAAGAGGGGAAGAGATGGGAAATGCTAAAGAGTATGAGATGGACAATCTCGTGGAGGATCCTGGATAAAATCGAGAGTGCGGTGCTGAAGAGCATTAGCAAGCAGCCGAGAGGCGAGCAGCCAAACTCAAGATGTACATGCCAGGCCAATCCCTGGTCTGATAACCAAAACGCAAGTTGAGCAGAGACTGAGAGGGGAAAAGATTTCTGCAAGGTTATTGCAGCCCAAGCTGTTATGGCAAGCGTGACTGAGCAAAGGCGGGTAACTTTCATGACGGCATCGAGGTGAGTCGGAAAACTCCTGAGGCAAAAGCAATAATGTAAAATGTCCCAGCCAAAAGTTTTGATGATAATGGGCCAGGCTAGGAAGAGGTCGATGCCAGAAAATCCTTGATCGGTTCTAGCCACGCTGGTTAGTTGACTAAAGCCAGATTGCGCGGTGCAACATGCCTAGTGCAGAATAAAGGTGTGTCTCGTCTTGTTGGGGCTGGATGCGGCTAACAAATATAGGCAAGTCCTACATGATCCCGCCAAAGGCGAGCCCGCGCGCAACTCTTCAAGAGAAGGAACGGAACAACGTGTTTCCAAGCATCATAGATTTATTTTGGGTAAGGGAGGTCGTGTATGGAGTACGCAGAGGGGGTGAGGAAGATGGTAGTTGCCTAGGACGCCTCTCAGCGCGATGATGGGCATGCTTGTTCAAGGTTGCATAAAGATCTGCGATTGGGTGCAAGGTTGGTGGTTTGAATCGATAAATGTCGATTTCTTGGGCGTTGAGAAGCAACGCACCAGGATGCAGGATGTAGTAATATGTATGTAGGATCTATGGAGTCAGTATCTGAACTTTGATCTGGTGGTAGGAGGCCGTCCGGAAGCAACATAGGATATATCAGTCCGCAGTTCCCATGAATGCTACGCACAGAAAGCGGACTGTGAAAAAAAAGAAAAAAGAAAACGCACCAAAGTTGCTCCCGAAATCCCAAGGCAAAGGTGATGGTAATACTGAACATGGTGGATGCCTTTTTCTTTATTAGAGATTGAGATAGACTCATTGCAACGCCATCTGCTGGGTGGTGGGGTTGATTTGGTAGTCTGTCCGTCTTGAAGTCGTGGAGGAGAGGTTTGGCTCATGCATACTTCTTGGAACCATCCTCCACTCATGCTTGTATATCTGCAACCAGCTTAACAGTCGGTGGGTAGTCACTCGAGCTTGGTATAATCGACGAAGAGTTATTAAAATTATTTTATTTATTTTTAAAATTATATAAAAATATTTATAATTAACCTTTATTAAGAATAATATTACTTAAAATTTCTAAAGTAAGATACTTAAATTAAACCTACCTTGTATTTCTAGGATAAACTTGCTGTATGTGTAAACTTTGCGTGCCAGGTCTGCCAGCTGGCACGCAAAGTTTGCACATACGGCAAGTTTGCACGGCAGCTGGCAGAAAAGATTTACACTACAGTAAGGGCTCTTTCCCTTTCTACTTCTAACTTCTTATTATCTGAACCTCTCTAGCTTAAATACTTCTTTTAATTACTCTAGTTAACTAAGAAATATTTAACTTCTTAGTTTGCTCTTAACTCTATCCGGATCTGTCTTTTTTATTTAATTCCTTCCCCGTGATCATCGCCCCGATTCAAGTTAGCAGCTACTAGTGTTGTCGACTTCTACGCATTTGTGCAATTACAACCGAGACCCGTCGCACAAGCCTTGCAGTCTTCTATCCCAGCCACTTGACAAACCCCTGTACTCCTTCGTTAATAGTTGTATGCTGTGCTGTCATACGGAGAGAAATGCTATGAAGCATCATGTCGGCCAGAAATGAGCCCGTGGTGACGCCCGCACCCGCGCCCGCGCCCGCGCCCGCACCTCGGCCGCTGACCAGGCTGTCGCCCATCTACGAAATCTCCGAGGCTGACGCCGCCCATCCCCTCTCTTCTTTTCCACTGACCAAACAACCCAGTTTAGGTCTATCAAACACCTGGGTCCACGAAAACGTCACTACACGTCGTCAATCAAGACAGAAGCGCAAGCGAACCGACTCACCAGATCGCCAGGTCAAGACCGTCATTGGGGCGATGCAGTTGCAACGACACGGACATAACACGATTGACGCTGTGAACGTGAACAAGGACATTTCAAAATCGGCCGTCAATAATGCCCGACGTCTCGACTATCTCCAGACCATATGGCCGGGTGGTGAGATTATCCCACCTCGTTTTCGCGACCCTCACAGCAAGCACACCCCAAGCTGGCATGTTACCAACGAGATGTACAAAATCACCAGGCTATTCGTCAATGCTGGTCTGCCTCTCGAGTCAATGTGGGACAACACGGCGCCCGAGGATGGCACGGGGCCCCGCGGCGTGATTCCAAGACACATTGCCGATACGACCGTCACCTACATCACAGGAAAGGCTGCTCGCAAGGCTTATGAAGAACTTAAAAAGTCCTGCCGGCTCAAGGTCGCTCCCGTCCAAGCTGACCCCGCAGGCCACACCGACGCCAAGCAACCAGAAGGCTCTCCGACTTCATCGCTTGCCAATGTTCATCACATCCAACCCTTCCGCGCAGCATCCGTCGATGATAAGTTGTCTCGCCAAGAAGAAATAGGAGATGACCAGCCTCAGGACGAGTGCGATATGTTATTTTCCTCCGATGGAGGCCCAGACGATGAAATTGACGGAAATTATGCCGAATACAGTCCTTCCGTTGGCTCTGACGCTGGCGGCAACACCGACTCCGATATCGAAGACGGTCGCCGCGTGGTCTCTGATGGAGATGTTCTAGACGCTAGCTTCCCTCTCTTAGCCCCATTGGCCAAGTCTGTTGCTGGTTCCAACTTCGAAATACCCGATAATGATCTCCCGCCCATCGCTTCTCCTTTGTTCGAGCCGAAGCAAGAAATGCTGCCAGATCTGCTCGACATACAGCCTTCCAAATACCAGCAAGACCTTGCAAAGGCAACAGTTGTTACGCTTACGAATAATAAGCGGCTCGGAAGCGAACACATTGTTTGTATCCTTGACAAATTCCTTCCACGTTCGGAGCTGCCCAAAGACTGGAAATAGTATGAACCAGGCTTTCCCTTTCAGCTCACGGCCGAGGACAAGCGTAAATCCTCCATCACGCGACAACAGCCGAACAATCTCCTGTTCACGACCCAATTCTCAAACGATCAACATTGGGCCGTCGCGCATTTAGAACGCTCGGCTGCCACCATCTGCTTCTACGACTCCATGAGGTCGCCACGGCGATCATCTATTGTTCGCTCCGCGCTGGAGGCCTGGGCTCGCGAAAACGCCCTTGTTGGGACAGATCAGGTCTTTAAATTCAAAACTAAGGTCCTACATCCTCCATCTCACCTCGGATGAATGCAACCAGCCCAGTCGCAACAGTAGCCCCTGATATTCATGCTCTTCATGTGCATTAGCTGACCTACGCGTCTAGGACTGTCCTCAACAGAAGGATGGTATTAACTGCGGTGTTTTCGCCATTGAAGCTATTCTTCGCTTAGCTTCTGGTCGCGAGTGGCCTGTTACGATCGATCCTTCACGATGCCGACAAGAATATATCAATACCTTGGTATTGCACGAGCCCCTGAAGCCAGCTGAAGCGCCAGCGTCAAAAAGCGAGATCCCCCAACAAGCTCAGCCGTCCAGTGCAATTCTCCCGAGGGGCGCTGCTTTCGAAACTGAGAGTGCAATCGATGCTGCCGCAGACTCTGAGAAGAGGTCGACGGCCCAGAACCCCCAAGAACTTGAGACTCGTCTTGGAGAGAACGTGACCAGCCCGCCAACGATGTGGTCACAGTCAGAGTTGAAAGCCGCAGCTGCCCACGCGCTGCCTCTTCAACTGGTCCAGTTTTTATCATCCCATGAAGCGATCATGTCTGAAAGGCTGTCGCAACTCTATGATACATCAAGTCGATTAGAGTCCGAGGAAACGGAGATACTGGAGGCTCTGGGTCGCGTCGCGGCGATCAGAAAGCGGCTAGAGGAGATACAGGCGCAGCTAGACTCCCTGCGAAAGGAACGAGAAGCGACCGAGGAGGAATTAGCAGGGCTACAACATCACGACACCGAACATCGAAGACTTCTGAATGCTATGACTACCAAACTTCCTGCCGGTTTTTCTCAAGACGTCCGGACCATCACCGAGCAGCACCTCAGTGAGGTTGGTCGACGCTTGACTGGAATCAACCATACGATTACAGAGGTTACATCTAGTTTGATACAGTCTCAGACGGAGCTTGACCAAGCTGTCGAGAAGGAGGCAAGACTAGAGAAAGTCCGAAAGGAGAGGCGGGAGATCTCGGCGAGTATTGCATGGCTTTCATGTATCGCAAATGCGCCAAAAGCATCATCTTGCTAGTTGTTGAATTAGCATCATATTCAAGATTCAGAGCTTTTTTTTTGCGTCAGGGAATTCTTTCGTCAATCATTAATCATTCTCTAAGTTAAAAAGAAGTAGTAGCTATGGATGGCTTGATATCATAAAGTAATGATGATAAGCTTTCAGACAGGTTTGTCTTCCGAGATAAATATCGTGCTCATATGCATAATACGAGGCCTAATGCATGAAAGACTGCTCCATCATTACTCCTCGATCCTGGTCGCACAGAAACATGGGCCTTTGGCTCGCGCAGCGAAGTTGTCAGTTGCTCTCTGTCCAAAGTTCTATCGTTAGCCCATTGTTAACTTTGTGCCACAAAAGTCATGTTGAATCATAGCTTGCTCCTTGCCACTTGTCATGGGGGGCAGTGGTGATGCCTTGAACCCATCACCCATAGTCGTCGGCTTCTTATCACAGAGAGGGAATCAGAAGCACGATGCGGTGGGAGAACGTCACTAACGAGCAACTTGCAGCAGTTCCAACTCTTTTGGCTCTCTGGTCGCCATCGAGGCTGGAGACTGGGCCGATAGTACGCATGTTCGGCATATTGTATGGTACGCACGTTCGCCACTGCCATCAGTTCATCTTCAAATAGTCTGGAGGCTTCGGCGTTGCTATCCTGAGCCTCTGGCAAGTTCCGATCCGGTGCCCAAATTACAAAAGGGCTACACCAATGATAGCTATCCGCACACGCCAGTGTTAGCAATGAGGAGAGGCACCATGCGATACGGATCCTTGAGTTCCATTGAGTTGAATCGATGAATCAAGTGCGAGACCAACTCACCATTCAACAAATCGAGGCTGGTCTGCCATTCATATTCAGTCGCCCATCTATCATCTGTTTACTCAGCATTCTGTAGTCATAATGCCTCCCGCCTCTGCTGCGCCGGCAAGTAGCTCTAGACTCTGCAATGTCATCAAAGTCTATTCAAACTTGCTACTAATACCTGACCTGCCAGCTCAGTAAGCACCATCTATAACGTGTCCAAACTTCACAACTATACAAACACCTCGCATGTTACCTTGAATCTTCGTTGGTACCAATACATTGGCCAACAACCAGTCTATGCAGTCTACCCATCAACATCTGAAACATATCTGATGTGATACATCGGCAAAGTGACACAGAAGGTGATGTAAACCTCGAGAACTGCTGGTTTCTTGCGCATAATGCCTGCTCCAAATCTCACGCATCCAAAACTGAATATCAAACCTGCCAGGATGGTTATCAAGCTCGTACATAAGAATTGCCAGCTGGTCTCTCCAAAGCTTCACCTTTCGGTAATACCATTTACCTCCTTGACTGAACCATTTTCTCCTCAACAAGTATGCCCATTTTATTCGACATACTTCTCCGATAGTAGCGTAAAGCTTGATGAACCTAGTCTAGTACAGTGAATAGTGAGATTCTGTCTATGTATAGTTCATTATGCCGTGATGTTAGTGGTAATGCGCTTGCTAATGGTGTTGACTCGCCGGCTTGGTCTTATACGTTCCTTGCGGCTGTCATCACCACGTATGAGTAGACAATATGAGCAATTGTGGATTGGAAACATCCCTGGTTTCCAACAAGTAAAGCAGCCGAGTCCCATCCGCAGTAAAAGTTTTAACCGGACCGTGTTGCCCCCGACTCAGCTATCTTAATCTCAAAAGGCTTACCGACATGGATTCGACCGGCAACACACTGATAACTCTTCCGATAGAAATAGTTCAACGTAGAAGCTCACTAAGTTGACTTGGTCAAATCTCTTACGACAAAACTGTCTCCCAGCTACGATTTTACTTCGTGACTAGTTTCTGCCGCTGCATTTTAAGACGTATCCATTCTGCCAGCCAATACCCCACCCGTTCCACAACAGTCGGTCTCCTCGGGGAGTTTAACATTCCTGACGCTGGTGCTGGCTTCGTATTTGGAGACAACCTGTGCATGGATGAATGTTAAAACGTCGGCGGTGGTGGGAGGGCGCTTTTCCAGGTAAGGCACTCCGTAGATATGGTAGCCTTCTCAATGGAACAGCCGGTATATCGTACCATTGCCTCTTCAACTATAAAACTGATACCAGGCCTGTAGAAAGAAAATTTCTCTTCTTTTCATACATCGCTAGACACCCTGACTGAACTTGCTCTGTTTGTTAGGGATGCGGTTCCAACCGGGCTGGGTTTCACCGCAGCGTAATGTCCTGTTCGGAGGGGGATTAGGCCGGGTGAATTAAGTATTATCAAAGATACGAAGTCGGTTTGGCAGAACTTAAAACGATCCATGGCAGAAGGCGAGTAAAGAAATAAACAGAATCCTTGTCTATGCAGGTGGTCTCCAGTCATTGCTTCGAGAACGTCGCTGTACAGGACCTGCGATGCAGCTTCATCGGTTCATTATACTCACAATTCAATCAGCTTTTCCGGTAAGATTCGGTTGAAATAGCTGTACCAAATGTATTAGGCAGGTTTCATAAGGAAGCATCTTGGAAAGGTACTTTGAGGAGGTCGAATTGGCCCGGCTTATTCCTTTCTAGCAAAATCGGTCTTGTGGGTGCATAGTTGTGTTATCACACCTTTCAGACGTGCAATAAACGGAATAAAGGCTATCAAAGTCTTATGGAAGTAACAAACAGTAGTATGTGAGTGTTTAGGCGTATCAAAATTCCTTGAGAACATAGCGACGGCTAGCCATTAATCAAAAAGTTAATCATGGTTGTAAATGTAGCCTTAAAATACGCTCAAGAGACTAAAAATGTGGGCAAACTCGAGTACGCTGTACCTATTATCATGCAGAAACTGATGGAATACTGTCCAAGCATAAGTCTGTTTGAAGTATTTAAACTTCTCTTAGTTGGCGGGGGGCCGTGGCTAGTAGTAAGTCATCCACGAGGGCTTCTTCTCTTGGTGTCTAGCTTCCGATTTTAAAACGAGGTAGATAGTTAAGGTCTATAGTTCGTGTCACTTTACCTCTAAGGATACTGTTACTACCTTAGATGCAAAGTGCTCTTGAGAGAACGTTGGCTCATCAAATGAATGATTTGACTCGCTGTGCCTTGCGTGGCCAAGACAAATCCATTTCCCCCATAACTGTTCATGTCCGTCAAGGTCACAGACGATGAATGTTTTAATCATTCAATCACTTGGCCCTGTACGTGGAACGACATAACGAGAACGTCAAACTCCTGGAGTTTCAAGCAATTTTTTTAACCAAAACGGGCTCCTCGCTGCATATCGTCCATCTTGCCATGTTTTGAACCCCATCTTCGACCAGCGTGCATGTCTCATTGGGACTTTTCATCGTTTGGCGATCGCCTTCCACGCCGATGGCTTTTGCATTGACCATAAGGCAAAGTCCCAAAATTGCTCGTCATTTGCCATAACTCGTATGAAACTTCGCTTCATTTTCTTAGGTTGAGCCTGAACACCTGGAACGGTCTAGCTGTGCCGGCGGGGGTGTCAGCTTTTGCTAAGATGCCGGTGATGCTTCATACGGAACATATTTGAAAACCTGATTACGATAATGACGATAATGATGCGCTTCCCTACGGTATATTAAAAAAAGTACTAATCAGACCTGGAATTTAAAAGCTAGTTTTACCGCCCGCAATCTACTCAACCGGCCGCAATGTAGGACTCTTAATACACGTCATAATCCGAATCACCTTTGTTTACATCGTTATCTTCGACAGCCCTGCCAACATTCGTAATTGTCGTTTTTGAAGCGGCTGTTGGTATCACAGGATACCCGTGAAGTGGGATAACTGATCGGGGAACTGGTCTGTATTTCTCTTGTGTGTCTGTAGGAGAAGTTCCAGCGGAAGTGCTGGAGGAAGTGGTTGCCGGTCTTATAGCCGTCAGCAGGTCTGCCCGTCACGTGGGCAGCCCGGGTGCCGGCAGGACTGCTGGTGACGGAGCCACTTCAACCCGGAGTTCCAGGGTTCCGGCTATTCCAACAGCGGCATTCAGAGGTGCATTGATAAGTAGATGCTCGTCGTTTGCTTGATTGGAGAGCTTGATTGGGGGGGGGGGGGCTTAATTGGGGCTCCGGCTACACGTGTCGTGGTTTTGGTAAAAGTGACGACAGTCGGCTGTAACATGGAGGCTGTGAGTTACTTTTTGCAGACAGAATACATATGGTAGGGGTTCTATTGATTAAGTAGTCTGGAGTGCTAAGATAAGCGTGACATAGCTCACGGCAAAGTAGAGCAAGTATAGACGAGCTTTCTGCGATGGTTGGCGGGTCGGAATTGTCGGCTGTGATGCAACCCACTACCATTGGCGGTCTTCTATTGAGAAGTTTCTCTTCAACGCAAATTTGTTTCTTTGGGGTTCACCTGACCATTCCCAACGAGCTTCCACAACGGACTGCTTGGTTGGGAGGGATTAGACGAGAGGCGACCGAGAAATGTTCGTTGTTAGACGGTGCGGGATGCATTTTACAATGCGAGTAAAACTTTGCAATAATATATAAGTAGTCAGCCTATTTTTTAAGAGTGAATGAAGTTGCGTTTTCGTAGGGATAGCTTTCTTACAGAGGTTAGAGAATCTTATTTAATCCGGGGGTCGTAGAGATAAACGTTGTGATAGTGTCCGAGAGCGGTCGCGGGAGATACTAAAGGATTGTTTACGTTATATAAACTGATGTTGATTAATTATGAAGTATTAACTTTGAGGGTTGCTTTATGACTTATGTAGCCTTGGAAGTAAGTCCTGTTTAGTGAGACTTTGTAGTAGTGATGGCAGTGGATGAAGCCGTGATTGCCGTTTGCCTTACTCTTTGTTATTGAGCCAGATATCTTCAAGACAAGGTGGCCTGTGAATAACGGTGATATCCTTTCACAAATTAGATGTATGTTGTCTCAGATATGCTGGAATCGCAGGCTATTCCAAGAACGTACAGAGCTGCTCAGGAAGGCTATGTATTGAGTGGAAGTTAAACTGGCTAGTCAGGTTATTGCCTGGAAAATGATGTTCTCGAATGGAAACAACCACGCATTCTTATTAATAAACAATGACATTCTCATACTATCTAGTTACCATTAAGCCAACTACTTAGAATCAGTTAACCTTTACCAAAGTTTTTCACCCATCATGATAGAGCAGCCTACACGAAAAGAATGAAGTACAAGGGGGAGGAATTTGTGCGAGGTAATTCACATTCAAACACCTCAGGGGGTCAGGTTCCGATCATTACAGGGCTGATTGTCTTTCGGTTTATTAATTCCGCTTGTAGCTATTCTTAAGTTTTCCTTCCATTTTCTAAGGCCTAGGGTTAGTATTAAGTAGTAGGCAGCCATGGTTGTTGTTAAAGAGGTTCAAGGACATGGATTGCATTTCAAGTTAAGGAGACTTCATCAACTCGAATTGCCAGCAAAACTAAAACTAACGGGTCAACTTGAGCAGGAAATTTCCAAAAGACAACCCAAAAGGATTTGAGACTGTTTGAACAATCTTATAGCACGTTTGGAGTGATCATCACACTCAATCTGTTCAAATTTGGGCATGGCATCTGAATCAGATCACCAAGTTGAGCCATAAAGCATAACTCCGAGTCTAATAATGGTGCCCAATCTTAAGTCTCCAGTGAGCTGCATTGTCATCATGACCTTGATTAGAGTGATAGTGGCGATACCATTCGGTCTCCGTAGGCGAATCCATCGTGTCTCTGCGCTCTTAGCATCCATATAAGGAGCCATCGAAAAAAGTCTTAGGAGGACCTCGGTCAGATTATATCAAGACTAATCAACAGCAAATTTGCTAGCGCGATATCAACGGCCGGTTTCGCAATACCATTTCATCTATAAGGGTTGAGTTCTGTCGTGACAGATGTCATCGAGATGTCATCGCACCCAATATCCTTAAGTCTTTTTTGGATTTCATCTCCAGCAAGATGACGAGATGAGTTTACTCCACGAAAAGTAAGTTATCGGTCCGCGGGGGAGACTACACGATGATCTGTCTAACATTATTAGATGGCTTTCAAGACCATTTACCGGGGTCAGACAAATTGTCACTTGGGAATTTCTTTTGGAATAGACTGAATTTGCTCAAAATGGCTAGGGTTATGGGTAATGCTCATACCCGACTCTGACGGTCCTCTAGTCTCGTAGCTTAATCAGCAGGAGAACTGACTTACTGCCGTGATTGATCATTAGTGTTTCGTGAGTACGGTATACCCTGGACTACTAGTGGCTATGTCTAACGGCCATAATAGTTTCTCCTGTCATTCCTAGCCGTTTAGTGCGTCAGGCGGCATGCCATCATCCACACCTTTGTCTAAGACTAGTGCCATACAGCTCGAATTTAACCTCATACAACACATAGATACGCCTTTTCCTTTTTACACTATTACAACTATAGTTAACCTGTGGGATTGCCTCAAAACTCGTTAGCATGTGGTTCACTTGCCCGCAAGAGTCGAGTTGGCTGTTATAAGCACCAGCATTCTCACTTCGACAGAAACCATGCCAGATATGTTCTGCCCCGCCATTTTCAAACTCTTAACCTCATGGGACCAGCCATCTTTGGGATAGTAGCTTTCGTGGGTAGTTAATAGGCAACAACATGCTGTGGACTACTCATGAGCTTCATATCTAGGATTTCGTGGCAAGTCTCTCCTAAACAAATAATTTGAATTTACAAGCGGTTTGAAACAGAGTTTGCTTGCTGAGATGTCCAAGCACCAGTTGCGCTGGTAAGCTGGTTGTTTCCAGGACGTTCATTGTGATCCATACAACCCAAAGCTGTGCGGACATGATTTCTGGCAAAGCAAGCTTTTATTATTGTTGTTACTTAGTTGGAAATTGATGTAGTGACTCTCGAGATAGGAAGGCCAACTTGAGCGTTATTTCTAGCCAATGAATTTCAGTCATTAGCGATGACCTTGTAGCTTGAAGAAAGTATAATCATCTATTTTATTACTTACTCGCCTCATACCGGTTGCTTGATGTGTTTGGCAGTCTCTGTGGGCTTGATTGATGGGTTGGGTCTTTTTATGGTATTGGCTTGGTTGCCCTTCCTTCTGCTTCCTTCAGGGATATCTTGACCATAACAACGTAGAAAAGACGTTCAGGGCATTGTTCGATGAACTGGAACGAGTCAGTAGAGTACATGCATAGCGAGAATAATCAATGAAGTCGTAGAAATTACCACCCAAGTATGTGATAGCTTTTGACCGATTTGGAGCGCAACTAACATGGGCACTCATGAATATCAACCATTCCGATACCGAGGATGAGGGCACTGTTTTTGCAACTACCATCCTCAGAATGAGAACTGCCAACACACCTTAAAGTTTCAGGACTTGCAACATCTCCTTCTAGAAGGCTTCAAGGGTATGGTCAAGTTATCGGATAAATGTGAGAATATAAAGCTGCGAACATGGGTATATCAGGATGACAGAGAGTCCTGATTGCCCCCCATGTAAGCCCACCCTTGATCGGTTGTTCTCTACTTTCGAGGTTGGTAAAAGTACATCTTGTGGAACTTCTATTCTGCGACCTTAAATCACGTAAAGACTGTGTGAACGGGATCTTGTTTGGTTCTTTGTTTTCCATCAGGGCATACTTCAGAGCCTTGAACTATAAACCAGAAGCTGCGGTTCTCCTCCTGCACTGTGACGAAAGGTTGCTTTTTTGTTATTTTTGTCTTGGCCAAATAAAGGAACCACTCGACTTCAGGGTGGCAAGCATCTCAGTTCTCGTGGGCTGGTTTGTTGTTTGGTTTTGTGTTATTACAAGAAATAGGTCTACCTTCTGCTTATGTGAATCTCGATACCTTGGGACACTTGATGGTCCGAACTTGAAGGGAGGGCACAATCAGGGGACCAAGACTAACACATATCGTTTTGATGTAATAGGACGATGAATTTCTTGTCCCTTGAACCTGTTGTCCTGCTTTGCCTGGTCATCTGCGAATCGATCCTGAACGCCACCGTATCTATGCCTTCCTAGCCTCTGACCTTTTGGTCTTGGCTTTGGTGTAATCAAATCCTCCACGCTTGGGTGGCAGTTTCTTAACTGCCATTACTCCCTCTATATCCTGTCCACCTGCTCCGCTCTTGTCAAAATGGGTCCCTGGTATCCTCAAACCGGGCGCATGATGCGGCATGCTTCCATCATGACCCCTCGCAAGTCCTCGAAAGTGATAGTTGCATGACCAATACTAGATAACCGCTTATGTTAGTTAGCCGTGGCGCAAATCTTTTATGAACTTGCTTACCTGTGTGAGCAAGAAGAGGATGCGTCCGCGTCTTTACCAGCAGCGCAGTTGCGTCTCAGTTCGCAGGGAAGGCCGTCGATGGCGGCAAGAAAGTCGGATGCAAAAAGATGGATCTCACCCTCGGGTTGTTGAAGTGCGCCTTCTCGATAGAACTCGCATCTGCGCATGACCCATGCTGGTGGACTGTCGATAATCTGATCATTGGCTGCAGCCACGACGCCGACGGTGGCAGATTCGCCCTGCGATGAATGGCAAATATCCAGAATGATGACAAGACGAATGCGGCTGCTGCAGTCAGACCTGACGCCTTTGGTGACATACGAGAGCGCCTTGCATTCAGCATCGGCGGCAGTCTGGCTGTAAGCAACCTCCCCAACGATGGATGGGAGCCTGTCCGCCCATGGCTGGGTTGTATGCTCAGAGAACGCTACATCTGGCTGTGCTTCCCAAGATCCCGGGACGAAAACGGTGGATGTACCTGAGCTGTAAACATTCTTCAAGCGTCTGATGGTATCGCGGAGTGCATCGTCAACGGCTGGGTTGATGTCGCCGGCCTTGTGCTTGATAGCGTTGTGCGAGTCCAGAAGACGTCGTAAGTGTTCTAGAAGCCGATTCAATGCTTGCTGAATCAAATTATCGAGGCCACGACAGCACAGTTGGTGCAACAGGGACTCTGTCATCTCCAGCTCGGCAATCTGGGTGTTGTAGTTGTAGGCGAATCGGGAAGGCTTGGCTTGGAGCAAGGTACTCTTGAGAAAGGGTAGCTCGACAATCTTGACAGAGAGACGAAGAGGTGACTCAGAGTCGTAGCAACAGCGGGCGGCTTCGATGGCAGATTGGTAGCGAGCGATGATTCTGTTGGCGTCAGTCAAATCGAAACTCTCCTTGCTTTTGCGATCGTAGTGGGAGAGATTGGCAGTGTCGATGTGCCCATCGTCATAGGCACTATCGCAGTCGGTGTCTCTGAGAGGGAAGGTTTCGAGTATCTGAGGAGTGGAAGGAGTTGAAAGGTTTGGAGACTCGAACTGAGGAAGCTGTTGTGGAGGGATTGACTGTTCGTGTCCTTTGGTATCGGCAGTGGCTAGATGGTTGCCATCTTTGCCCTGTTGAGAAATGCCCATGGCTGTGATGAGCGCGTGATTGATATTTTAATACTGCTGCTAGAACCACAGTTGCTGTCGTCGTCGTCGTTGTCGTTGCCGTCGTTGTAGTGAGGATTTATGAACGTCGTGAAGTAAGATTTGGCAAAAACGAATGCCTTTTCTTTTTGTCAAGATGAAAAAGCTCTTTTCTGGATCGGAGAAAAGCAAAAGACGTCAAAGATGGGAGTGGAGAGTGTGTGAGAGATGGGAAGTGTGAGATGGAAAGTGTGAAATGGAGACAAACGGGTGAACAGCCAGGTGAAGTTCGAAAGGCCCAAAGGGGAAAGATACGCTGTGGCTGTGGGTCGTGCTTGCTCATGAGAGGTGGTTCAGTGTGTATTCCTTGATTACGTAATCGACAATCAGTACCTTGAAAAACTTAACTGTCCTACACTCACACGGGCAGTTCAGCTCTTGGTAGGTATATGCCGATGAATTCTCATAGCTGCCACATAACAGTACATGAATCATAAACACATATGAAAAGACAATAAGGAGCCACACAATTGCATCACACCTTTAGAAGCTTTAATCTTGACCGTCGCGATACGCGATGATAAGGTTTTCCAAGCTGGAGAGGTATTTACCAGGTCTTTGGATACTGCGAAGAGCCATTTGCTGAATAAAATGAGAAAATCCATGATAAAAGGACAATATTCATGATAAAAAGACGACAATTCGACTAGCGATTCTCTGGGACTTCTGATCTTCTGAGTTTCCCCAGAAGACGCTGACTGTTTCGTTTTATTGGGATGGTTAGGATCGCTGTGGTAAGACTTGCTGGCAGCATGATGATTGGAGAGCGTTGCTGTGTTTTGATGGTCATTTTTGGACATGGCTAGCTATATGTTTGTTTATACAGGAAGAGACGGAAATAATGGAATTTCTTGTAATATTTATGCTTCGATATCGGAACTTTCGTGCAGGTTTGCTAACCTCTATAATGCCTGTGCGCCTCTAGCCTAACTCTAAGGGGCGACTAGAGCCAGGTAAGGTCATCAAAGACTCTAAAAAATGAGCATGTATCCACGGCTGAAACACGATTCGAAGAATGGCCAAAAGCCATAATGTTTGGTTGCATATCTAAATGAGATTTCGCAAGGCAAACTGGCAAGACCCAACGTAGCGTGGTCTGAGAAACAGGGCGTATTTCAACACGTTTTATCTAGATTGGCAAGCGCCCTCTAATCTTTTTGCAGATACTTCGGTCCTGGTTTGAAAGATCCATGCGATAAGCGGGCGTAGGCGGCTGCTGGAGGATGTCTAACTCGGCTTCAAATTTCTGCGATGCCATCGGGTGGGGCTTATCGGGAACCAAAGTGCGGTCAAAGTGGTATGTAATATCCAAGTGCTTCTTCTCATCCAGCTAGATAAAATCCATCTGCCCATCTGATGATGAGCGAAACCCGAGGTCGGTACAATGTCGTGAGCGGGTGAGTAGTACGTCAGGACGGCTTCGTAGGGCACCTTGAGGCGATTCTGCGTACGATATCTAGATATCTAGAGAGATGACTGAGGTGAACGAGACCTGTGTGGCAAAACTTGAGAACGCATAGGCTCACAGCAGGCATGACGTTCTGCCGTGATAGCTTCATTCGCCAGGTTCATGGATGTTATACTGTGCGCACTAAACAACCAAGACATTCACGCTTGAACGCTGGCCAAAACACCCCTTCACACCACTGAGTGACACACTGGAGGGCGAGAACAAGCTTCAATATCCCCCACTCGTGGCGTGTCGAACCCATCGGAACTTTTAGATAGATGACCGACTGATCACCGGCAAGCCCGGGCACAGTCGCCACAAAGTCCCAGTCATGACCCTGCACAATTACCGCAGGAAGAAACTCGATCGCCGAGGCTTCTGGATCCCAGCCAAGCTGTTTAAGGCTCCTAAATTGCGCTGTCTGCCACGTGCCCACTTGCAAAAGAGCCTTATCCCACTCGACACCCGGACGCTTAGTCTCGAGCGAAAGAGCAATTGGGAGGTGAGTGAGACCACCCATGTCCGAGTGGTTGATGGAAGATCCGGGTCTCGAGCTGCACTTTCTTGAAATGATGCCTCGCGCCTCGGGCGTTTGCATGTCGCGGGCCGGGTCGACGACAATGCAGAAGTCTACCATCTGCGTCGGAGCGCCCTTCGGACGGTAATTTGAAAGAATCTGGGCGGTCGTACTGCACGAAAATAAGTATTTGGCGAACTGCTTAGAAAAGGCTCTGTACTTACCAGTACTGGGTCCCTAGAAGCCCAGGTGTAATGCTCGCTTTCTTGCAGATCCATTTCAAGACAGGTAGATGGATTTCCGCGTTCCATTGGCTTTCAGAGGACCGTTCGCGTTCGCATTTGTTGGCGTCTGACTTCACTTCTTGCATCCAATCAAGACTGGGAACACGACTTTTGTAGGCAGTTGCAAAGTCCCCTTCCGCGCCAAAAGCATGGCGTGGGATGGAGGCGCCTCTTTTTGGTTTCGTGACGGGATCGACCTGTATTGTCGAGGCGCATTGGCGTCAGCGTGGTCTTGGTAATAGGCAGTAATGTGGGGCAAACGTTTCGCAACTTAACGACTTACATCGGACATGCGGGAAGTGGGCAGTAGATGGAAACCATCTTCGATAACGCCCAGCTTGTCTATGAGGGTTCGCAGAGATGATGGGAGATCTGGGTCCTCTGAAAATTGGCCTAGCGTGAAGCCAGAATCGAGTATCTCATTGTCTCTAAGCCGCTTGTTTGGGGATGATGCTCCGGATGCTCGACTTGTCACAGACTGGCCAGAAACGGAAGACTGATCGGATGGTCGTGGAGAGAATGTGACACCAGTAAGCGAAAACGGCCTTGGAGTGTAGTCGAGGTCGTAGCCAACGTCGGTCGTGGTGTCGTCGAGTGCTCGTTTTTGGGGGGAGGGTGTATGGGGGTGTGTCATATCGTGAGATGATGGGATGGGTTCGTGGTGGGAGACTGGTAGATAGGTTTCGGTCGGAGAAGGAAGATGTCGTGTCTCTTGAGTGCGAGGGTTTTTCCTTGGAACAATTTCATTCTCGATTCTGGTGAATCTGCTGTCGTCGTCAATCGATAGGGCCAGGCGAGGACGCTTGCGGGGGCGTTTTAGGTCTTGGTCGAGGTCCTGGTCAAGATCCTGCTGGTGACTGGCTGAAGCCGCACCGGAAGAGCTGCTGAGAAGATCGCCCTGGGGGCTGATATTTGCTAGCCAAAGAAATATTGAATCGAGATTGAGATTTTGGTTCATCATAGCTTGTACGAAGCATGTGGAGCGATGCCGCAGTGATTGCAAATCATGTTGCTACTCATGCTGATTGTGGAGTTGTTTTCTTTCGACATCACAAGGCTGAACGCTACGTCAGTGGTTGGCTGTGCAACGACCAGGCTGAGGCTGAGAACCAATCAGTTCCAGCCCACCAGCAGGGGCCAATTATCAGTCACAGTCAGTCACTAACCTCTCGAGAATAACAAAATGGGGCGCTAAGTCGTATGGACCACACCTAGCCTCTTTAAGATAATTAGACGAGACGCTTTGACGCATTCGGCAATCTGACCATTCAACACCTCAGAATTGACCTGTCCTATTTTTGTTATCATCGAGAGCGACAAAACACGGTCGCTAGTCCCCTCGAAAGTATCATTCGACTATTTTACATCGGAAATACCACAACCATAAATATCAAAAAGCCAAAACATTCTGCTTTCATATTTAAAGCATGGTTTTTTTTTTTTTTTTTTTTTTTTTTTTTTTAGGTAAGTCTTATTTTGCGGTAGCTAGTGTTTGGACGAGGTGTTGCTCATGACCAGCATCTGAAAGTATACCATCTCTCTTATTGGTCACCCAATGCTACTTTTGTGGCACCTTGACCAAACCACAGCTACACCTTTCCTGATTTAGCCACAGCCAAACCCATTCCCAGTGTGGCTATGGTTGTTGAAAAGCCACAACACCATTCAACATCACCATTCCATTCACCGCCCTTCATAACAATAAAGCTGCTACCTACAAGTGCCAATTTGCTACAATAATAAGCCCTAATTTTTGCCTAGACTTAAACTTTTACGAGAATTTTTCTAGGTCAAAAAGGACTTCACTATATTATAATTAGCTATTTCCCCTGATGGTTATGTGTTGAAGCGTTGTGGCACACCCATGTTTTGCACATAGAAGTACTTTTTTTCATGGCAGATCCGCAAAAAGTGACTTTCAAAACGAGCACCCAAAAAACCTCCCATTACCCAGACCCACGAAACCCATGGTGCTTTTTCTTCCTTACGTTGGGCTGCCAATATGACCCAGCCCCAACCACAGGTCCCTAGTGGGACCCGTGGGTTAGGTAATGTTCACCCTCAGATGCTCTATTCCACACTTCAGGGTTGGCTACCATATAATGTGCCGGTACGTTACTCATGAGGCAGTGCCATATTTACAAAGATCAATACGATATTGTGCCAGTGGAAAAAAAAAAAAAAAAAAAAAAGCACATGCCTTCTGTCGTAGTGGCTCCAGGCGCCCCCCGGCCCCCGGACCCACCGCGCCCCGGCCGCGTAGTCCCGCGGTGGACTCGCTCCACCGACTTCGTAAAGCAAACTTAGCCCAGCTCACTCATCTAGAAAATACAAGCCGTTAGGTTCCTAGTTGAAGCCGCCCGTACCGTAGGCTGCACATACCATCTTCATGATTGCGAAAAAAATGGGTTTCATAATTTCTGATAATCTTTTCGCCGATGAAATGCGTTTTTTCTGCCTAATTAGTTCTTTTTCCCTTCGTCTTCTGTTTTCCATAGGCTGATAAACACAATGACTGCCAGTTGCCTCCCAAAAAATGTTTTCTTCCTCTATTATCAGTTAGGCCTTTCTTACTGTCACCATTAATCTTTTTCTCAATCATTATGTTAGCCGATGCTTTGCAAATTTACAGTGAACAGGATGTGGTTTGAACAAGGCAAACTTACATTCTGCTCAAGCTAATGACTCCCTTCACTCCTGTTACTGCATCGGCCTTGATGGTCCTTCAACAGACGTGTTGATTTTAGACTGGCCTTCAGCGAAGTCGACAATAGAATAACAACAATTGGACTGGCCTTGTGTTGAAGACTGCGACAGTGTTGAGCACACAAGAGAAGATAGCCAATAGCTTGTATTCTTCCTCCATCTTCCCTAATGCATCGGCCATGTGCTCTGTGGATGACCCAAAGAAATGATGAACACATAATGTCGGCAAGGATGAGTTTGACTCGTTTTTATTAGCGTAGGCCTGCGACAAAATCAATGCCAATCCAATTCGCGCACCGCAACAAAAAAGACATTTTTTCCCGCAAATAACACCGCAGAATTATCGTGCGTCGTTGACAGCCTTTGTCGCCAATTTGTCTGAGTCTTTCGCTGTATCTGCGACTGTTACGCATTGCCTCAGAATGGGACGACAACTAAACGTTGTACAGTACCTTGCTCGAAAAGTATGTTGGATGTCGTTTTTGAGACCATCAAGGATATCAATCACATTCTTAAACCCCAATTGCGGACATGCGATGCAGTCTTTTCTTATTACAAGGTTTTGTCGTATGGTCTTAGTGGATTTGAGAAAAGGCAAGCTTGAATGGATGTCTTCCAGGGCGGTCTAACTTAATAAAGACACCAGCTAAATTCAAACCACTGCAAATATTTACAAAGCCTGATTCTTTTACAACAATTACTTGAAATACCTTTTAAGACTCCAAGAAGCCAAGTGATAAGGCTTGTAGACTTACAAATACATGAGTTGAACGGATTACCCAAGTTGTCCGTTCGGACATATCATTTTCCACCTAGGCTAGGACCGAGTTCGACCAAGCGAGAATACTCGATACCATCGTCAAAGCCGTTTATAGTTCTGTGCGCCAACAGCAGAAGCAACTGCACCTCCTCGCCGGAGTTGCCAACACCTTATGCGTCAGTGTGGAGCAATTTATATGTCCTAGGTACAATATGGGTCCACATCCACCACGATGAAGCTGTCTCTGCGCAAGTTCATGCAACTGGTGCCTCCAAACACCAACGACACATTTTTTTCCGTCCCTGAATTCTTCAACTCTGTGCAGTACTACCTCTTCCCTTGACTTTGTGCTGCTGCCACATCTCTCTTCTCTCCACACTACAAGCTTACTGACTTTGCGACAGTCGTCAATCAAGCTATGGACTATACCCCTTCTTACTCACAACGCAACGCACACAGGCGGGCTCATCCGTCTTTGGTGCTTGTCTAAAATAGCCAATAATGCAGCCATGTATTTCTCTTCAGAGTCTTCAGCAAGTCCCTCTCCAAGCCCTGCGTCAAGCCCTGCTTCAAAACCACCGGCGAGCCATTCTGAGAGCTGTTCTCCAATCAGTTGCTCATTCATTGACCCATTTTATATCTTTCATTCTTTTTTCATACATGATCCTGACCGCATACCTTTCACTGATCCAAGCCCTATTGAAATTACCCAGTCTAAAGTTCAACTCATATCGTACTCTATCTCTTGGACACCTCGCCAAATTCGCAACATCACATATACGACTGAATGAACCCCAGGGCTCATCAATACACAGGCTTATACGAGATCGGAAGGGCTTGTATGATCTATACGTGCTAGCAGATGACTCGGGCATTGTCGGCGGTATTGTCAATGCGATTATTTCTACATTACCAGCTCTTTTACTAACAGTTGAAGCCGGCCTTAAGTCTTTTAAAACTTTTGAAATTAGCAATCCTTATAAAGACCGTAAAGGCTTCTTTTGGGGGCAGAGTAATACAGCTCATCTGATTCAATTGAACTTACCTGCACGGATATGAGATCTTTCAATAGGGGTAAATTCAACATGTCCATTCTACACCATACACTACCTAGGAGGTTTGAAGGTTTACAAGAGACTCCTCCCTTTCCGTTGCCCTTCACGCGGGAAGGCGAGGTCGTCCTCTACTTGAGGCTCAGGTGGTCAGCAGCTGTGGCCAGGCGGCCACAGAGACGCTCAAACCCAACATCACGATTATTCCAATAGTTTTCATGTTGTTGAGGATTCTGTGCGTCCACTTATCAAAACCAGGCTGACGAAGCCAACATAAACAGTCAAACCGGTCCTTGCCTTCGAAGCTAATATACATTCAGAGCCATCGAGGTCAGAACGCAGCTAACAAAGGAATTTTCTCTTCCCCTCGAATTATCATATTACTTGCAGTAGTAACGAAGACGTAAATCTATAAGAGTTTGGATATCACTAACTTCTGCTTATTTGTCACTAAGTAGCCATCGCACCATTTAATCGAAATAGAGGTTGAGAGCTGTGGCAATGATAGTGTTACAATGGCTGAAATTCCAGGATAAAGTAGACCCAAGGTCGCACGGTTTAACCGGCCGCCGGTTTGCCAGTCACCTGGGTGACTGGCAATCAGACGGAATGCATTTTTGGCATCCACTTCAGCCCAAAATCCTGTAAGCTCTCCCCCTAGAATACCACAGATAGCAACACAGACACTTTTCCCCTTCTTCAAACGGCCCTTCTGGTTCCCCCAGATGGTGTCGATTCGCCAGTATGGGCGGAGCAAATTATGATTCCTATTCTGCTGGAACCCTTACGAATCTGGGAGAGAGCCAGACTACCACCACTACCGACGGGGGTCTGATTCCTACTCTTCTAGGGACAGGAGCTGTGTGAGGAGGCTGATTGTGGGTAGAAACTGTGGGACAAGAGCTTGATTCCTGGTCAGCACGGCATGTTCAGAAACAACGTTTGCTGTTTTAAATAGAATGTTTCTGCTCAATCTCAAGCCCAACGGGAGAAAGGCAAGAAACAAACTTAATCCAATGGGTTGATATGATCACAAGTTCTCAACTTAATCCTGGCTGGAGATTTAGATTATTGGTCAAAAAGAGTACGGGAAAGGCCTGCGACGCACAAAATACAAATCAGTTGCTTATTTTTTTCGGGAACCGCTAAAAGCATAATCTTCAAAAGACATTGGGCTACTTCCAGAGATTGTTAATAGTGAAGAAATACAGCATGACGGTGCGGCAGCTGGTTCATCTAAATCATATGGAGTATTGAACAACATCTCCTGGTAAGCGAGTAGCCTATGCAGGAATCAGCTTGATCAAGGATGTGCCCACCAAATCTTGGCTTCCATTAACAGATATTCTTGGGCCGTGACAAACATGGTCGAAAGGGACTTTCGACATGTTTAAACAAATTTTCAAATAGCTGATTAAAGCAACACAATTGGTACAAATTTGCTGCCCCTGTAACGTCTTATTATTCATGTGCTCAGCCTTGACTATCTCACCCGTGGGCTAACTGATCGCAGTCATTCGTGGGCTTTGTTAGGCGACAACATGATTCTGCAATGTATCTGCTTGGCATCACAATATCCCAAGAGTGGGAGTCTCGCGCGAGGGGTAAAAGCCCCGTCTGATAGGCTTATTGTGTCTCTGTGTATGTTCTTGCCAAAGTGACCAGAGAAGTGAGGACTGAAGTGGTTTCCGAAAATATATACCAAGTCTGGCTGCTAGTTACATGGTTGGCAGCCGGCTGTGGAACCACGTCATCCCGTGAACTTCATCCCGTAATGCCGATCATTGCACTAGTATGAGTGCATGGATATTCTCTCTTAAGTCTAAAAGCCAATGGCGAAACCCCCTTTTCTAGTAGTCGCTAGAAATAGTTATCAGGACCAGTTAGCGAACGAGCTGTTCTGCCTCTCCAAGCCCATTTTGTTTAATGTTTTCTCATTCAACATTGATCCCAGAACTGTCGCCTTGCCTAGCTCTTATTGGCACAGCCTCCTAAGTCTCTTCAATGATGAGTGTCTGGTCGCTGTAGACAACGAGGTCGTTTTATCGTTCCATAGAATCTTGCATGCAGTCAATGTTTATCATAGTAATAGACGAAAGGATAGAACAAACAAGCATAGAAGAAGCAGAGTGTCAGATGAAAGGAGAAACCAAACAAATACATCGTTCTATGATAGTGATGTCCGTAAATTCGATCCCTACCATCCATGGTATGAATATCCATCCTAAAGGGGTTCCTTACGTAAGGTCCTGTGTAAGTACAATGGGAATCTTTGATGTGGAATCATCTAAAAGGCTCCTAAATCAAACGATTGCAACCAATATTAAAGCAAACCTGTCCTATCGACTGTCAGATAACCTCGATCTCGTCCAGGTGTTTGACTTCCCACCTTAAAACTATTTTTACCCTCGTTGTACTTGGTATGAAAGTAGTTTATAGTATTTTCATGTACATTCTTAGTCTTATTACGGCATTATGTACCAACAAAGATCACCACGACTTCATCTATCCGCAAAGCTCTCAAGCAGAAATGTACTCTCTATATAAGTACATGAATAGCCACGACTGGTGGACAGATGAGCCCTAATTGGCTTCACCCCACCTTTGGCGAGATTTTAGTCATCTGGAAGTTGACAGGTAGTCTCAAGACTTTCAATGGTTGCATACACGGATGGATGGATCTGCTAAATAAAGGAGAAACTTTTGTCCCTACCAAAGTCCAACTTGAGCGTAACAACTTTCGTATCACTTTTCCTTAACTATCCCATCGACTGATACATGGCTCCAGTTCCGTGAAGGTCGCAAGACCCGATTTTAGAACCATTCTTACCCCTCAGTAAAATCGGTACATCAACATAACATGGTCTTTTCCTGTGAATTATTAAAGGTTCTAACATAGCATCATGTGTCGACAGCTTTCAAAAGTACTTCTACCATCACCCATAGCTCACTGAAAAGAGATATGTTCTAAGTTTAAATATAGAGCCAGCGAATCTGATAGGCAAAGGAGCTCTGATTTGCTTTATTCCGCCCTTGGCAAAATTGGAGCCATGTGGCAGTCGGTGGGGTAACTACTACACCTAAAACACGAATGTCGGAAGCTTTTCCTGTTGCAATGGTGTTGCTCAAGCTTTCATTGGGCTGTATGTGGTTTGGGATGGTAGAAAAACTTGTCAATTTGATAGTCCCTACATTTTGCATCTTGCTACATAATGATTCAGCCTGATTAAATCTTCCACGAAACTTCAAGCATCCTGAAACTGTCCTAGCGTTGTCCTAAAAGCTGTTCATCCTGCAGAGGGATTACCAAGAACATTTGAAAGTTCATCATAATACCTGGTACGTGCACCAGCCTGGGGGCATTTCAGAAACGGTGAGTGGAAGTGGATGTTAGGGCAAAGCGAGAAGAATGTTGGAGCTAGTAGATCACCGATCATGACTTAGATAAATGTAAAGCCGTCCCAAACAGAGATATTCCGTGCTTCTTGAAAGCCTACTGAAGAGATCCAAGAACGTACGGATGAAAACAAGACTGAAGATATGAAATTAGCTCTGCTAGCACGAGAATCGAGAAGATCTATTCATATGCCGAGAATCTTGTGATAGAAGGGGCTTGGACTTGGTGAGTCTTGAATTCGATTATCATTTTCGAAAAGGCTCAGATATTTCAAGGCCTGGTTCTTTGCGTGACGCTCTTTGACTGATGGGGGGTATGGAAAGAGTAAGTGAGTACAAAATTCCATGACGTTAAACAGCATATCATCCTGTTTTCTTTATTTCAAGCCACACCACTCTCGAAACCACAAGGCAAGTTCACTCCGTTTTGAGACACCTATTGCCGTTAAATTGCGTTGGGCGTAGTACAAGAGTCGATGGAAGAGACGCCATAAAAGTTGAAGCAGAGTTCTGTTGAATCTGGAGTTTGTTTTCCTAGCAGGTTGCTAAGGCAATAGATGGGAATTTATAGGCAACCCAATTGTCAAGAGATGCCGGTTGCATATTCATGCAAAACCACTATTCATTCCTCCATATTTTGCTCGCCACAGCAAGTTCGCGGGGTACATGGACGTAATTTCATCGAACCGGGCTCCATATGGTGAAACTATTGTCAAAGTGATCAGTGCTGGGAACAATCCATTCCCGGATCACAAAAGTGACTTTATCTCACGCACGAGCTTTGGGGTGTTTCTAGCGTTGTAATAACGGGCTCCCGAGGCTCTGTTGAATCTTGTTAAGCCCCGTGACAGCCTTAAAGGATATTGGGTTATAATTTTTCGAATGGCCAGTTGTTGAAAGGAAAGCCCTACTTCTCTGAGGTTACATTATTGCGGGAGCAATGATTTATGGATTTTCTAAGCCAGTTTCATGAATATCTACAATGGCTTCCTGAATCCAACTCCCCCTCTCGAAATCGTTATCGCGAATCTTCAGAAAAAGCCAGCATTCTACCACCAGCTTAGTCAATAGCTTCCTCGAGACTCACCAGTCTCGTGGAGGAGACGCGTACAGACGGAAATTGGTGGCTCCAGCGAGTCAAAAGAACGACATGATGTCAATTTTACTGTCGTTCAAGGGCATTTCGAAAGTGAGTCCCCGCCTCTCGTTAAAATGTACCATCGGCAGCGCTGGCGAGGGGGTCATCAGTAAGCCCTGCCCGAATAGCTGCCAACGTTTTCATGATACATGGAGCTATGATGATACTATCATGTTGAAGCGACCTAGAGGCGATGGGACTGAGATTATCGCTTGCGGTGCATTTGGCGTTTGTCAGTTGCCGAATTTCTATATGTCTTGTACTTGAGTTTCTCAAGAGCCCACTTACTCGGAATCGGTGGGCTGTAACGCCACGTTCAGGCAGAACCTGAAAAAACCAGACTGCTAAAACAAAATCAGTCGTACCGGCATTTCGGACAACCAAACGGTCCTGTCGATACAACATGCAATCAACTAACTGTTGGTCAGCTAGTTTTCGCGGGGATGTGGAACTATCTGAGAAATTACTGAAGAAGACCTGTAATAGTTTCGATATCGTTCATTGTCGTTTCCGTATTGTGTGTGAAGTACATTCCTCGTTCGCACTGTTGAGAAGAGTTGCAATAACTCTCACGTTGCGGAACAAGTTGGTCGCGGAGGAATCCGCAGTATAGTTTCTGTTCGATTTGTCGGTGCTGTGAGTGTTATACTTATGTTCTTGTCCGTAGCCAGAGATTAGAAGTCATACGTGGTGCTTGTAATTATTTTGTAACCTGGCAAGATCTTTGATCATCCATCTGTGGTTAGAACAATACTTGTAAGAATCGGCAAATGTATTGCTCGTATTATAAGCATATGACTAGAGCCAGCGACTGGAGTTGTTTATCAAGCTTCGTTTATATCAATTCAATCGAAACAATACAGATCATCGGTTATTCCTAGTGTTTCCCTTTAGTAGATATTGCGTTTCATATCACGGATTGGGTGAGAAACAACGTAGGGTAAGCCAAGAAATGGAATCCTGTTAAATTGAACACAAAGAATGCACACAATTATTGCAGAATTACAGAAAGTGTTTAAATTAGTGCACAAACATATTGAAAAGCTCCTCCGTTCTCAGCAGTAGTTTTTGTTGGGTTTCTTTGCAATCCAACTCGACAATGTTCGCGCTCTCTTGGATCTCCATCGCATTAGACACTATTGTTAGGATCCCACGAAGTACCTGTGAAGTGGAATCTTTTGTAGAAGTTCTTGTAGAATTGCTGGTTGAAGTGATCACAGAACTTATATCAGCGTTTGGCAGCCTCACAGGAGGCCTAACCACTCGGAAGTTCCGGCTATTGCAACAACTATAGCATATATATCAATTTCGAGGTTCATTCAGGCTGCGAAATCTTCGAAGAGATTCTTTTAACCGTGTGTCCCAACAATAGATTGCTGCCGTCGGCTTCGTCATACAAAAGCCGAAAGGCTATTACGTAGTAGCAGCCGCCAAATTCATACCGACGACGTCAAGGCCCAACAGGACTTCAGAAGCTCATAGGCGTACTTTGAAAATATGACGACATTACCAAGATGAACATCGACGTAGATCTGTATTTAAAGGTTGGGGCAATTATCTGTAGGGTTAGCTAAGTTTGGGGCAAGGCGCCGCTCTTCCATAACGTCAAAGGCTCTTGAGACGGTCTATGGCGTATATTTGGCAACCAGCCAGTTTGCAGATTAGAGATCAAAATATGTAGCCAAATCTCCAGGAACATTGGTTTATCGCCGACTACCGGCTGGAAAGACAACTTGCATCGGTTTCTGTCATGGAACAAGTCGACTCACTTGCCACCCAGGCCTCTTCAGGGTGAGCTTTGCAACCAAGACAGGATATTAGACGATATCACCAATTTTCCAATGCGACAAGCCCCGTGCTTCCGCGAGGGCAACGATAGGAAATACTGACAAACGTACGCAGCACCACCAGTGGATACCGTCGTCACATCTACTCGGGTTCCGGACGGCGTGTAGAGACCGAGCAGGTTGGCACTGTGACGAGCGAACAGCTTGAAATGGTGAAACCTGAGCTAAGTGACCTGTTTGCCCTTACAACTCCGATATAATCTTGGGAGGCACTATGTCATTCACGAAAAAGGGACTTGAAGGCCCTTTTCGCGACGATCTCGCCGCAGTTTTCGACGACGAAAAGCAACCGAAACTATGGTTTGGCGTAGATGCGACCACCCACAGGGGCCATGTCATCCTGTCGGTTTCTTTTTCTGGGATATACGCAGATGGTTTTGTAAGTTAATGACGCATTTACTACTGGCCAGTTTTTTTACGGTTCGGTAGCTGGTCTGATGAAGCAGATTATGGCACAATTGGCGGCACCAGAAGTCCTTCTTCTCTGTCAACATGAGTTGCTAATAAAAGAAACTTTTTCTCGTTTCGAAATTTTAGTAGCTTGATATGCTCCATGGGTTGGCACTCGGAGACTCCGCGAGATAAGCTCCCATTGATGATCCTTGACGGTTCTCACTATGAACCGTCAATCTTGGCCAACCTATCGATTGCCTCGTTGGATGCACACTGGACTGAGCAGCGTCACCATAACCTTCACGACCTCTTAGTAACCTGGCCGGACCTCCATGAAACAACGAGAGGAGGATAAACGGGGACGATACTGGCAGTTAGTGGTAGGCAAACATTGAGTTAGGGCGCTTGCAAGACGATGTCGACCAGGAAAGCCGAGAAAATATGCATCCAGCGTGCCTTCAGAGTCTCTACCCAAGCTGCCTTGTGTATTATGTGGCAATTTAGCGGCAATCTAGTCAGTTGGTTCGAACTCCATGTTATGTCTCAGCAGCAGGTTCTGCCTCATTTGGGGTCAGTTGACGTTTTGCTCTATATACTTCATGTTCCACACCTGTTTCTTAGGTCCCCTATTTATTGACTAGTTAAGGGGGGAATTGGCAGGCTGCCCAATGAATGCTTGCGATTTTTTTATAGCAAGCCAATGTCCTCCGTCCCATGTCCCTCCACGGGGTTTCGTGTCACTTGAAATATATGTCAAGGGTGGTTACCCCAGCCTGGTTCTCTTCTCCTTCTGTCTATGTTACTTATCTCTACGCTCGCCTTTTCCTTAGGCTATCCCTACGCTGTCCTGGAATTGAGTTAACCTTGGCGTGCAAAAGGCTGCCGAATGCATTACCCCCGACCTCTCGACCTCGAAGCTTTTTGCGTCTACGTTTACTCATTCGCAAACTCAGTCTTCCGTGAAACATTGTTTGCTACATCATAGCTTCGAAGTACGAGTACAAGGAATTAGATGAAGCCAAGTCTCAAAGATTTATTCTCCAGCCAGAGAATTTCAATGATAACCTTCGTTATAAGATCCCATATAAAGAGCTCAGAATATAATAAAATCCCTCAATAGAAGAGAAATACTCATATATTTAGGGCCATTCACAGAATCCTCAGCCACTAGAAATTCTACCCGGCTCTAAAGAGGAACAAGGCAGCACCCTCAAAATCGGCCATAGCCTTTACTCAGCTGCACGACATCATCTACACTATACGAAACAACATTCTCTTTAAATTGACTCAATATACATTAATCAGGGGGAAAATAATGAAAAACTTTCTCTGGACAGGCACATGGCAGATATTTATCGCAATGCTCACCAATTTGTTGTCTATCTTGCCCCAAGATCTTAAAACTACGACCTCGCCCTGTAAATGATTCATGGTCTGGATGTCAGCGTTGCGAACAATTAGGGCGCCCCTTTTGTTTGGTTAGAGACGGCATCAATCTAATCCACAAAACGGCTGAAGTTCTATTACCGTTTTCCGATACTGATTGGGGTTGGCTCTGCAGTTCTGACCCCATCACTTGGTTTCAACAAGCTTCGACTGCTTCACATTTGTAATACGGCTTAAGACCCTAGCTCCGTGTCATAAGGAGCCTCAGTTGGTAGCAGAAGGCATATGCAGCGAAGCTACGAAAGCGTACTTCGACATTCTCCCAAATCAAAGGCTCATGGTCTGAGCAGGTAAATGCAGCAGGGTCAAGTGGCACCCGTCCCGATGATATCACGGCTTGATGTGATAAGCACCAAATATACCATCAAACACCAAGTCCACACTGTCTGCCAATGTGGCCTTCAAATTCTCGATAAGACCACAACTAATCGTATAGTTGGGGCTATTACGGCTGGTCTCATCTGAAATAAATGGTTCGGTAACGACAAATGCCTCTCATTACAAATTTGCCAAAACACTTGGCTTCTTGATACCAAATGATACTTCCGAGAGCCAGAGCCAGAGTCCTGTGACACCGCATCTTCTGTCCGCATCTTTTGTGCGGAGATTTCTTAATACTTGCTTGCCTGAAACAACGCTCTTTGAAACCAATGACGAAATCTTTCCATAAATTAGAGGAACTTCATGATGGGGACCAGATTTCTATGATAATGAGCTTTCACGAATGAGTGATTTTGGGACACGTCAGAATATCAATTTGCATCGTTCTTTGGTATTGTATTTCTCGTCATCTTGCGAGTACCAAAGGTCTTTTAGGGCCTTTTCAGAGGGTTGGCAAATACTTCTTGTGGAACGTCGGGAGGAAGCGTAATTCAATTCTTTGTTACTTTAGACGGCAACTCCAGGCTGGACGATCCTCGCCTGAGAAAATTCCACCTAGGTTGGATCAAATTTGAAATACTGGCGTTCTGGGGTGGCTGAAGAAAGGTGAAAAGCTTTTAAATGGAGGGAAAAGAGGAGATCCGCGAATGCATCTCGACAGTCTTTTGGACCGAGTGTTACGACTGTGGCTGGTAATACTGGTGTAGAAGCCCTGCTGATTTCTTTTGCGTCTTACCGTATTCAACGTAGCTTGCTTTTACGGCAGTTTCTGGTCAGTGAAAGGGAGATGGCCGCGGCTCTGACGGCAACGAGCTTGTTGAAACCATCCTCGCTCATAGACAAAGGGGTGTTGGAGTTGGTGCAGGATGTCTTGATATGATTAGGTCACCTTAGACGTCTGATGGTATGCTCTTACCAGACACCGTGCTGCGTCGGTGACGAACTTGCCACTTTAATCGTTGCAGAGGCACTGGCTCATGTAAGACATGTTGTCACGGCCACCCTGACTGCTATCAGAAGCGGAGAGTAGGTATAGCTGTACATTGCTGGTTAGTAGCCGGAATCTTTTGAGTGTTTTTTGAGTAATGGTATCGCCAGGAGGAGGCATGAAAGATTTGAGGCCTTGCCCCATTAACTTGTTCTACGTTGCGGTGGGATCGGTGAGAACCCTAGTAGATGTGACAGGGGTTCGAATTAGTGACCTTCACCTGTATCTCCCATGCAATTTGCAATTTTGAAAGGAATAATCGAATGATGGCATCAGAATTTGGTAGCGAAGATATCTAACGCCGGTATTTGGGTCTCGAGACAAGGATTTCGATGAATCGTTACGCAGGGTTTCAGCTACAAATGGAGACAGGCTTTCAACGGTCGAGTTGATGGAGGGGGCGCCAAGAGCGTTTTGAACAGACTAATAGATCCGACAATGGAGTTGGGAGAGATCGGAACAGCTAGTTTCTTCAATAGTTACCATGTATAAGTTGGATCTGCCATAAAATAGATTGAAGATACGGCTATATTATCGGAGTTGTGAAGTCCACAATGGTGTTAGAGGAGGCGGAACGAAGGAGGGAGAGGGGGCAGACTCCCGCAAAACTTACTTCGGACCCTATGTGCGCCTTTCGATCTAGGTACTTTAATGTTATCACAGCTATGACAATTGCATCAGTGCCCTGGCCTTTGCCACCATCATCCAAAGGGACGTATTTATTATTCACATGTCATAACGAAAGGTAACGTGATTTATGATGTGGCTACTTTACTCAATCCTACTTGAGTGTTATATCATAACGAGTATAATTGGTTTCTTTTATGGAATCAGTCTGGTGTCCAGCTGAGAATCGATGTCTGAGAGTAGCTTTCTTTGTTCCGGGACAACTCAGAATTGGCGGAAGGACTAAGGACGGAACCCATTGTGATTTGCCTTTTGGCAGCTAGGCACTGGGAGTCCTGAAGAGTGTGATGTGTAAGAAACGCCAATAACAGCGAGAATTAACTGGATAAGGGTGAGAACTATGATCACAAACTCGACGTAGAAGATAAATTAGCCAATATAGAACCTGGCGCAGGAAGCCATCGCGCAGGACATCTTTACCTTCTGTGGGCTTCTTTATCAGTAAGCTTATTCTACCGATATCTAGCCAGGGAGTATATGTTTTCGGTATGGCTCACAGTTGTAAGCCTAACGAGCATTTGGGATGCTTCTCTCTTTCTCTTTTACTTAGCATTTTGTTATTACGAGAAGCGTTTCTCAACAAACCTTGATTCCCTTATAGGCAAGGCTTCAGTTAGGCCGTGATGAGCGAGAAGCAGTTAAAGAAACGGTGCTTATCTTGCTATATGAATGCATGTTACACTAGAAATTCAAACTTTGTAGCAGCCACACCCATCATGTATCGCCACTTTTATTCGATTCACACCTGCAGAGAAACGTACACTTCTTCGTTTGAATAGGTCTCAAGAGTCTAAATGGAGAGGGTTTAAAGTGGGGATCCTCAGGAAGAGATCAAAAAAGTTAAAAATTCAAAAGAATGAAAAAGAAAAACAGATTAAACAAATTTGCTGCTGGTATAAAGCCATGGTTGTAGAAGGTTGATGGACATTGACCGTTGCATACATCGAGGCATGCGTTCAACCCATGCACTCGGTTATTGTTTCTCATGTTAAATTAACGAGGTGGGCATTATGTAGATGAGTTCCCGATGAGACAGTTGGATAAAGCACTTCTACTCATCTAGACAGTCTTTTCCAAATAGATTACATTAATCGCCCGGCCAGCTGGTGGGACGTACTTCTGCGTGACAGTGGTTTTGCCCTTGTCTTAAGCAACCATCCTGAGGAATTGGTCCTAACTCGCCCTGGAGTTGAGATTGGAGGACTCCGTGACGTCTAACTAGCATCGCCTGTCCGACGAAGATGAACCTTGGGCATAAATGTTCCGGGCATACCAAACACAATAATGGGCACAATTGATGAGATG